GGAGGCAGCGTGGGGCGGGCGGGGAGGGCGGGGGGGAGGGGGGATGGTGCTGGGCTCAGCCGGGCCCCATCCCGTCTGGGCTTTCGCACTGCCCCCAACTGCGACCCCAACCCGCTTCCCACAGCCTGTCACCGGCATGGCCTCATCCCCCCCTGTGCCCGGAGCCCCCACCCCCTCCACACACACACCGTGTCCCATCTCCTGGCCCTCATCCCTAACCCTAATCCCGAATATGACCCACTTTCCTATCCTAATCTTCATGTCCAGCCCTGTCCCCACCCCAGCTGTGTCCCCAGCCTCCTTACCTCCAAGCCCGGGCCCTATTCTCCCGCCCCACCCACAACGCCAATCCCGCATCCCACCCCGCATCCCACCGCACCCCAGCCGCCAGCCCACCCTTGAGGAGGGGAGGAGGGAAGGTCTCAAAACCCGCAAGCAGAGGGCTGGGCTGAGGCTCTGACTTCTTGGTTTGCTTCTGCAGTGGACGGGGTGGGCTTAGGTCTGGGTCAGGCCAGTTTCCCCATCCTGTCACCAGCCTGGGGTTCAGGGTTGGGACTCAGGCGGCGGACAGACGCAGGTCTGCCCTCACCAAGGTGGGGGTCTCTGGGTCACCAGAGCCAGGGCCCAGCCTGTTCACCCCTGTTTGGGTCACCAGTCTCAGTTCCAGTGTGGCTCTCCACTACCTTGCAAGTGAGTGATGGACACAGCAGCTCCAGGCCATGGAAAGGGCCAGAACCCTGCTCCCTCTGGGCCGAGGTCTCCCCTTAGCACCTGGGTCCTCTCAGCACCTTCCCACTCGGATATCCCGTGACTGTCAGTGCCAACTCCAAGGATCAGCCTCACGGGTCTTATACTGCATTTTTCTGAGGCCACAGGCAGCACTGTTGCCCTGGCTGGGTAGCTCAGTTGGTTAGAGCATTGACCTAATACCCCAACGTTGTGGGTTCTCGGCCGAGGTCTCCCCTTAGCACCTGGGTCCTCTCAGCACCTTCCCACTCGGATATCCCGTGACTGTCAGTGCCAACTCCAAGGATCAGCCTCACGGGTCTTATACTGCATTTTTCTGAGGCAACAGGCAGCACTGTTGCCCTGGCTGGGTAGCTCAGTTGGTTAGAGCATTGACCTAATACCCCAACGTTGTAGGTTCTATCCCTGGTCGGGGCACATATAAGAAACAACCCATGAATGCATAAATAAGTGGAACAACAATCCATGTTCTCTCTCTCAAAGCAATAAAATAATAATTTTTAAAATATATATTTTTTTATTTCAGAGAGGAAGGGAGAGGGAAAGAGAGATACATACATCAATGATGAGAGAGAATCACCTATAGGCTGCCTCCTGCACGCCCCCCACTGGGGATCGAGCCCACAATCGGGGCATGTGCCCTTAACTAGAATTGAACCTAGGACCCTTCAGTCCGCAGGCGGACGCTCTATCCACTGAGCCAAACCAGCCGGGACAATAATAATTTTTTTAAAAAAGGCAACACTGTCAACATCTTCTAGTCTCTGATATATCAGAGGACAGAGGAGCTGCCCTGTCCTGTATAGCTCCAGGGAACAGGGTGTAGTAGACAGATGTGGGTTCAGGCAAAAGTGCTTGTGCCCGGCCGGTGTGGCTCAGTGGTTGAGCGTCAACCTATGAACCTGGAGGTCACGGGTTCGATTCCTGGTCAGGGCATATGCCTGGGTTGCAGGCTCGATCCCCAGTATGGGGTATGCAGGAGGCAGCCAATCAATGATTCTCTCTCATCATTGATGTTTCTATCTCTCTCTCCCTCTTCCTTCCTCTCTGAAATAAATAAACTCAATAAAAATATTTTTTTTAAAGTGCTTGTCTGTGGGTGGAAGGCCTTCAGTGGTAAGGTCTCCATCCATAGAGGACACCTATTTTCAGCCAGAAGCACGATTGTTTTGTTGTCTGGATGGCCGAGGGCCTCAACCACCCGGCCAGGAGATTGAACTGGAGGATCTTTTAAGGCAGGGGTCCTCAAACTACGGCCCGCGGGCCACATGCAAATACAAATATTGTATTTGTTCCCGTTTTGTTTTTTTACTTCAAAATAAGATATGTGCAGTGTGCATAGGAATTTGTTCATAGTTTTTTTTTTAAACTATAGTTCGGCCCTCCAACGGTCTGAGGGACAGTGAACTGGCCCCCTGTTTAAAAAGTTTGAGGACCCCTGCTTTAAGGCAAGAAGAATCAGGTACTTGGGGTCAAGGAATTAGAAGGCTGTAAAAGTCAGCAAGGACCAGAGCAGACTGGGCGGCCCCCTGGGCTGTGGTGAGAAGCCTGGACCGTTCTCCCAAGGGCACTGGGGAGCCATGACAGGTTCTGAGCAGGAAAGGGACGGGGTTTATGCTTTATAAGACCTTCCTGGCTGCCTCCTGGGGGTAGACTGAGAGGGAGAGCAGGGACCTGGACCTAGGGAGGAGGGGACGGAGGAGGAGAGAGCAGATTTGAGAGACAGTCAGGAGGCAGGAAGGACCAGTCTTGGCCAACTTTGTGGCTGAGAGGCTGTGAGGGGAAGGAGGTACCAGAATTAGGTACAGGTCTCTGCCCAGGTGGCAGTGTGAATGTGGGGTCACTCTGGAGAGGAGACCCAGGAGGAAGGAGCAGGTGTGGGGGGAGGATGCCTAGGTAAGTTTCAAAGTCTATCCAGAGATGGTAATTTTTAAATAATAAAAAATAATTTGGGGGAAATTATTTATATATATATATATACACACACACACACATACACACACACACAGTGGGGCCTTGACTTATGAGTTTAATTCGTTCCGTGATGGAGCTCGTAACTCAAATTACTCATATGTCAAACCAAGAAGTGAACGAGTGAGACACGTGATGCTGGGCTGATGTTGTGTCGTTCACTGTGACGTTCGCTGCGCCAACTAGCGGTGGGGTATCTGAAGCTGGCTCGTAACCCGAATTTTAGCTCGCAACTCAAAGCAAAAAAATCGGCCGAGAGATGGCTTGTATCTCGAAAAACTTGTTAGTCAGGACACTCGTAAGTCAAGGCCCCACTGTGTATATATCCTTTTGTAAATCCACCCCTCCCCATTCTGCCTTCTCACTGTTAACCATTTCTTATGCACCGTGGCTAATAGGACTCTGTGAGCTCTCTGTGCTAATCTGTCACACCCTGTGCTAATCTGCCACAGAAGTGACCCGGCTTAAATGAACTGTACCCAGTGTGTGCCCATTTTAGAGAAGTGAAAACTGAGTCCTGCAGACGTGCAGCCACGTGTTCTTTCCAGGGCTTGGCTTTGAAGGCCTTTCAGAATTAAAGGTATGGGACTGGGTAAGATCAGAGAGGGAAGGTCCAGAATACAGAGCCCAGGGAACTGGAAGTGGGCATTGGGGGATTGAGGGAAGGCTGCCTGGAGGAGGAGTGAGGGTAGCCAGGAAGCCGCCTTCCAAAGCCTTCTGATGAAGGGCTTAAACCAGGCCCTTCGGGGGGCTGAGATACAGTTGACAGGAGGGCAGTGTCCCCCCTCAGGCCCACAGGGCCCCAGAGGGGTTTACTGGAGGGGACTGAGGCTGCCTGCTGGCATCTCAGGGACACGAGGACAGCACAGCTGGCTCCTATGACGTCTGAGTGATTCTCCAACTGCCTCTCACTAGTACAACCAGCATCTCTAGTCATGCCCTGAGGGGGTGGGGGCTGAGGGGAGGAGGAAGTGACGGACCTCCTCGGAGTGGTGGGGGCGACAGGTATGCAGTCATGCAGAGCCCAGGGACTCGGGAGGTGAGAGATGTGCTCTGCCCCTGCACTAGAGTCCCCGCG